TTTTGTATGTCGTTAGATAAAAGCTACAATTAGCTGACAAAGCCTATAACTAGTATAATTAAAAACTATAGTAATATATGTGTGTGTGTGTATTTTACTATAGTTACGTAACATTATTATATAATATAGTAAATAAATTTATATAAAATTAATTCTCAAAATTCTTTTTAAAACTTAAAAACACACGCATATAATATATATTTTCATTTTATATACGTTACACGTGTATTCTAAATCTTGAAAGGAATTTCAAAAACGAAAACGTACTATATATTTGATCAATTTCTCTATTTCTTTGCCTGTTTCGTGGAGTTAACCGGGTTTGGCAAACGTGCGGCCTGTATGTTTCTCTTTGCTCACCTTCTGTCGTGTAACAATGGATCATCACTCTGTTTATTTAATAAATAAAGTTATAAATATCAGTCAGAAGCATACACGTACGCGGTTTCCTGTTCCTCATTCTTTCCTGCAACGCAACGGTGGCGATTATCGTTAATCGCGCACTGATGTAAAAGCAGCAAGAGTGAAAGATACGTGTAATAATAACTTCTTTTCAGCCGACACTTGCGACAAAGTGTATTATCGGACAAATCAGCGGTGCGTTGATGATATAAAAATCTGTTACAGATTTGCAAGTTCGACGAAAATGAAGTGTCTGGTCGTGTTGGTATGTTCTCTGTTGGGATTCTTCGAGCTCGCCAACACTTTGCCCCAAGGTGCCACCGAATACGAAGGTTCGTCAATAATCCTTGATTTCTAATCATTCGATTGTGGATTTTCATGCAAATTCATACTTCTATTCCGGGTATACGGAGGCTGTTTCATACTTTTTGTAGAAACATGATTTACAAATGAAAAGAAGGAAAAGTTGGTAGACAAATTTCCAAAATGTAGCCTGAATGTTTCTGTAATTACAAGATTGTTGCAAATTTTTAGATGACAATCAATTCTGTATCTACAATTGAACTTGTTCGTTCAACACTGTGCTTCTACTAATTTTGGTGGGAAAGTAGGAAACACACTTTGTAGAAATTAGTTGGATGACATTCCATCGAATTTTATAGTTTGCGAAACAAATTGTAGATTATTAGAAGGAACAGTATGTTCTTTTTGAAATTGAACTAGAGGTTTTTAAGAGGACAATTGTATCGACATGAAAATTTGAAAATTGAAAATTCGAAGGACCTGAACTATATTGTTAAATGGAAAGCCTAAAACAATTTCCTCTTAGAATAAATAACTGATAAATAAAATGGCAAATTTTATCTAGAAAAATATCGAACTAATTTTCATACCAATATTAATTCGTTGACGCACGCTTAATTCTCACAGATGTCTTCTCTTGCGAAAATATAAAATTTCTGAATTAACAAAGTATTCAGAACATTAAATTCCTTCGTCAGTACAGTCAAAATCGTTATCTGTGGAAATATGTACGTGTGATAAGCCTGTTTGCGCTATTTTAGAAACAAATTTGCGTGACAACGATAGCAGTCATTCGCTGCTACGAAATGGCACCTCGATAGAAATTTATTTCGCCCACTGAATATTATAGAAAGCATTCTACTTTTGATGTGATAGACATTTTAAACTGACTATATAATATCAAAACAAATATATGAAATTCAATTTTGTTCAAATCCCAAAGTTTGTTACTGGCAATAATCTATCTAATTTCACATTTGTTTTCTCACTATCGAGAACATTATATTTCAACTTTGAAATTATACTTGACATGCAATTCAAAATTGTTTTCTCAATTACACATTTAGAAAGCGTTGAAATTGATAAGTGTATAAAAATGTTGAAATTGATATCTTAAAGATTTGGTTTCTGGCTTGCATGTATCGCGAATCATCAATTACCGTGATATCTGATACTCACGAATTCGTGAGCTGACATCATCAAGGTCTCTGTTTTCCTTATTTTTCAATTGGTTAATTAGTATTTATTGCGGATTTTTATGCATTTGTGAGACATTGGAAATGTACACAAGAATATAAAAAGTATATAACAGGTATATAGAATATAATAAGTATAATTAATAAAGTATTTATTGTGATATATAGTGGGAGAAACAAATTTCTTGTTTAAGTTCCATTCCTTTAGTCACATTCATAAAATTTATCAAAATTTATTCAATCTACTTGTTTAAATACCGTCTACGTTTATACAGGTGCTCGTACACGCGCGTAACACACACTACTGTGTTAAGCTTCATTCAGATTGATCAAGTTACTTGAATTCAAGCGATTTAAATTCGAGTAACTTGAAAATCTCTCTATCAGTGTTAAATTGTCATTGACTTGATTTGAAATATCCTTTCGAGGTTTCGCGTTTATCCTTGTCAATCGAGCCACTTGATTTCAAGTGATTTCGAAACATTTGCCACACTTTGTATCAATTTCTTTATTTCTATTGAACACAGTATTATCTCCTACGTCTTTGTTCTTACTAATGGATTGCGGATATTTGTGCAAATTCATACTGTTATAAATAGAATTTAAAAAAAATCTTATCTTCAACAAAAATTACTATCTTTAATGTTATCTCCAATTTCTTTATTCTTTTCTCTATTCTCCTTCATACAGATATTGATTATTCTACATTTAATTAAATTTATCATATCGAGACAAGTTGAAAATCTGTTTGTTTAATTTTTTTAGAAGAAAAGATACTGAAGATATAAATTTATTAATTAGGATTGGTTAAAGGCATGTTTGTTCAATTTCTTTGTACGAAGACGTGTGTTTCACGAAACTGCTGAAAATGTGTACGATTTATCTTAATTTGGAAGAGATTGAAGATATCTTCTATTTTGTATAGACAATTTTTTGCCGTGAAGATCGTTCAGAAAAGAAGATTTTCCCCATTCTCAAAATTGATAGTCGTCATAAATTTTAGAGTAATGAAACTAGTTAATCGTCAAAAAAAGCCATAAATGAAAACCATACGAATATTCTTTAGATCGAACACATGACGTTATGAATGAACTGCGTGTTATTAAAGTTTCATTTAGAAAAATGACATTTCGTATGCATCGACGTAACAGTCGACGAAGCTTTACAAAAGCTAAAAATAGCAACTGACTATGAAATGTTAAGCACCAAAAATATAACTGTCAAGAACATTTTACGATTTTGACGAAAGCAATATCTTTATGGTTATATATTGATATAATTTGAGGTGATCGATTTTTATCAACATGTACATACTAATAGAGGCAGCGAAAATTAATATTCAATCTCGAAATTCAATCAAAAAAACATAGGAATTTGTCAAGCCTTCAATGAGGATCAAAAAGATCAAATGTTACATAACAACGCGTCTCGTGTTGCTTCAGAAGAAGAAATAATTTCAACTAACTTCACTTCGTTTGAAATCCAGTCAAATAAAGTGTTTTAGATTGCTTGAAATCAAGTAACCTAATTAATGAAGATAAAAGAAGTAATCTAATTAATGTAGAAGTAATCTAATGAAGATAAAATTTGTAAAAGATATGTCAAGTTGATCAAATAGTTGCTAAATAGATAAAAGGATTTTAATCTGGATAAGGGTTTATCATTGATGTTTGTTGAAATCTCTATATCACACTCGATAATTAAATGCAATTTTTTTTCAGATGCAAAGTTTATGAGCCGTAGTTCAAAACTGCAAGATATATAAGAACATTTATTATACATTTATACATTTATATTTGTATATATATTCAAATATTTCGTATATATTTAGTGCAAAATAAATCTTTTTGCAGGTTCCATTTCTTCAGTCATGTTCGTAAAAATTGCGAACTAAGACTAATAATTATTCTTCATTTTTTTTTTTTTACAAAAGAATGCTTTTTGAAAAATTTTTGCTATTAATATGGTCATCGATTATACGTAAATATTGATTATCGGTAACCAATAAAACTTTTATCGTAATTTTAATAAAATTTCATAATGATTATATATGTTGTTATAAAAACCTATAACTTAAATGATAAATTAATTTTAATAAGTTAAAATTAAAATTAGGATAGAATATATATATACTTTTAAGATTTGAATTAAAACAATTACGGACTAAAGATGAATAATGAATTTACATTAGCATCCGCAATCTCGCAGTCATTCACTATAGCATGTTTTGCACAAGAACGTATTTCTTTTTCAGATATGTCCTTCTGGCTGAAATCTGGCCAACAGAATCTTCGAAGAAATTTGGCTTATCGAGATAACGTGAATCGGGCAAAAAATGTGATTATCTTTATCGGTGATGGCATGGGAATATCCACTATCACAGCTGGTCGAATATACAAAGGCCAAATCAAGGGTAACACCGGCGAAGAATACAAATTGGCTTTTGAAAAGTTCCCTAACACTGGATTCGCCAAGGTATTGCCTCTATACGTGTACACATAATTTAGCTTGCATTCCAAAAGCGACATTTTCAACAATTTCTTACTTTTTATTGCAAAAGTGATAATTTGACAAATTTTAATTAACACGTTTTTTTGCGATGACTGTTCGCACGAGATTTACGTGATCTGTCTGTAGAATGAAATATTTAAATTTCTATGAAATATTATGTTACAATAAAAGTGCAAACGCATCTTTCATTTTATACTATTATTTTGTCGGTTTATAGTATTATATACAGTATTATTTTGTAGCATTATATTTATTTTATATAGTATTTTAATATCATTCTACAGTATTATCTTTGGCAAAAAAAAAAAGAATTTCGATCAGACACAAATATTCGGAAGTACTCAAAATTAAATCTATAATTCATTATAGATATGGTCCTCATTTGGTATTAAAAAACTTTTTAAGCTTTAGTAATTTCGGCTTCTAGTAATTTTCGTGAGTACTCAAAGGGTTGACCTAATGTTACTCAATCAATTCTTTTACACGTTGCTTTTGAAATGTGAAGTATAAAGTCTCTCTGTATTCGAGACTTTTACCCATCATGTTTCAAACAATTTCAACACGTAAATTTAGCAAATTTCGATCGAGTTGTTTTTTTTTTTTTTTTTTTAATAGACATATAACACCGATAAACAAGTACCTGATTCAGCTGGAACAGCTACCGCAATATTTTCCGGTGTTAAATGCCGATACAAGGTTATCGGATTGGATACCAGAGCTTCGTTTAATCAATGTAACAAGCAAGTCAATCAAATAAGCAAACTTACAACTATAGCAGACTGGGCGCAACAAACTGGTATGGATACCGGTAAGTCATCCATTACGTATTATAATACAAGGAGAAAAAATGGAAGAAAAAGATAAAAAAAAGGATTGACAGATAGTTCAGATACATATATAAATAAATAAACAAACATATAAATAAACGTATAATAAAAATAATATAATAAATAAACGAACATATAAATAAATAGGTAATATAATAATAGGTAATATAATAAATATAATAAATATAATAAATAAATGATGAATAAACAAGATGGATAAGTACATGAATAAATAGGCAAAATGAATAAATGGTAAATAAATGAGAAAGAAATAAAGATAAGTAAATAAATAAATGCACTATGGCAGAAATTGCATGTGCAGTGGTAAACAAAAGAAAGTGGGAACACTATAATTATTGATAATCTACTAAATATCATGTTCTTCCCTTTTAGCTTATTTTTGCCAATATATTTTTACATAGAATCTTATTCCTCCTATTGCACCATGAAAAGTGGAGTATCCTGTAAATGAATGCATGCGTGCATCACGCGTAACTATATACATATACACATATATTTACACGCGACAATATAGTACAATTGACCGAATGATCGATACGCATAGATAAAACCGGCACGCGCGCGAACGTGACTCTCTAGCAACAACGACCGACTCACGGTCAGCTACCGGTGTTAAACATTAAACATCAGTATCGAATAGACCTTGTCGCGACGAGCTCGAAAACGACACGACAGAGAAGGTCACGAGCCGACCTTCCTCTTTATCTAGGGCGTAACTCTCGCTCGTAACTCTCGCTCTTTTTTTTTTTTTTTTTTTTTTTTTTTTTTTTTAATT